GTCACGTGGCGTCTAAAAAAGCTGCCATTTTGCAATATATTTGTGCACACATGAACGCCGCAATTTGGCACAGGGACAATGCCATGTGTTTAATTTTGAGTCATACACAACCATTACACGCCCCAACCGACTGTAATAGGAAACACTGGGTTCAAATACTGAAATTAACTTCTTTGTTTCAGGGGTGCCGATCGAAGTTTGAACAGAGAGTGGTATGCAACTGCTGTTGGCAAGCTGCTGCCGAGTAAGGCATATCTTCTTCTTTTCATTACTAAACCACTTTGCTTTCACCATCTCGGATAAAATCTCCTCTTTCAGGGAGACTGGTTCTGCAGAGGATGTGCAGTAATTTACTGAGCGGATGTGTTTGCACTGGTATGATGACAGGCCACTCCTCTGTGCAACTTCCATGTTGACCTGACATTCATGTGATTCACAGATGACCTTATGGTGTTCTCCCCATGTCTTGAGCTGAATATGAAGAGGAACACTGTGACCCTTGGTAACTTTAAGGACTGCATATATGCCATTTGTCCTGTCGATGCGCTGGCTCTCAAGATGGAATGTGGCATTAATGTCCTGTATTGGCTCTTCTGTGTGTTTGCGGTCAATGTGCTTTTTTAAGTTTTTTTTATTAATGAGGATATTGCAAACGGGGCATCTTTTTTGGATCACAGGCCACACACAAACCCTTCTTGAGGAGACTGCTGGTGTGGTCAACGCTGCAGTAGCTGGAGATGGTGTGGTCAGCACTGGAGAGGTTGGAGATGGTGTGTCTCTCACTGCTGGTGTGGGCAGAGCTGCGGTGGCTGGAGATGGTGTGGTCAGCACTGGAGAAGTTGGAGATGGTGTCTCTCTCACTGCTGGTGTGGGCAGTGGCTGGAGATGGTGTGGTCAGCACTGGAGAAGTTGGAGATGGTGTGTCTCTCACTGCTGGTGTGGGCAGAGCTGCGGTGGCTGGAGATGGTGTGGTCAGCACTGGAGAAGTTGGAGATGGTGTGTCTCTCACTGCTGGTGTGGGCAGAGCTGCGGTGGCTGGAGATGGTGTGGTCAGCACTGGAGAAGTTGGAGATGGTGTGTCTCTCACTGCTGGTGTGGGCAGAGCTGCAGTGGCTGAAGTTGGAAGTGGTTTTTGTTTGCAAACCTGTACATGTGTCTCAAAATCACTTCTCCTTAAAATTGTAGTTTGACAGTATGGACAGTGGTGATGCAGTGCTGGTCGACATCCTAGTCCACATCTGTGTATAGTAAAGCCTAAAATAAATAAGTATACTGGTAAACTATTATGCAATAATATATTGTGAGTACATATATTATACAAACAACTCAAGATAGTCATACCTCCACAGACAACTGCCTTGCTGAAGTGGCTTTGAAGATGAGTTTTTACTTTAACCAACTTGGCTGGCTTAAACACCCTGTTTGAGCAAAAAGGGCAGTGATAATTACTGCAACACTTGTTGCACTGCTGCAGCTCAGGTAATGTGTTGCCACTCTGGATGGTTATGTGTCTCTACAGGAGATGAAAGCACCACACAATTATCTCAACGTTGACAGATGGGATTAAAATAACTAAACTATAAGGTAACACTAACTCACAAACAATGCAGAGTAAAGTAAAACAAACTATTTATATATGAATAATTAACGTCTTCAAAACTTCACACAAGGCCCATTTACAACACGTGATCCGAAAATTAATCGAAACATCTGCAGAAAAAAAGTTCTATACAATAAATTATGACAACAAATTGAAGCTTCAAAAAGACAACAAGGCCAAGCACAAATTAAGTATTTAGCAGATAAACGCTTAACTTAATATATATGACAATTATTGACCAAAACATTAGAGACTATTCACGTACCGTGCTCTCCGCCATGCTTATCTCGTTGTAAATAACTCCGCCCCTCACTTCCGGTTCTGTGGCTGCGGTTCTGTGACTGCGGTTCTGTAACTGCTGCTGGTGCTCCGGGTCTGCAGCTGGATATATCTCCCCTCCATAGCAGCGCGTGCACAGATCAGTGAACCGGGTAGCGGTCAAAGAATGACTAAACCTCGAGCCAATAGCCTTCGAGGATGACGTGACGGAGCACGTGATTTGTTGAATGTAGTTCCAAACACTGACACCGTTGGTCTCTCTCTCTCTCTCACACACACTTACATATAAATACATTTATATTATACTTTTATATATTTATAATTTGACCTGAAACACCCAGTATTTAGTCTATGCCTGAACGAATACACCCGTCACTGAACGAGATCTTCTCATTAGTGAACGAAATGACCGAACTGGTACATGTCGTTCATGAACGAGTTGAATTAACTGGTACATCTCGTTCAGTGTTGCCAAGTCCACGGTTTTCCCGCAGAGCTGGGCTACTTTAACACTGTTGCCGCGGGTTGTTTTTCCATGTCCGCTGGTTGAAGCGTCCAATAACATGATATTCAGCCCCTGAAATGCGAATTTTACTGGAGGAACCCTGCCGAAAATTTGTATGTTACCCCCTCGGAAAGCGATTTTTACCGGGGAACCCCCCTTGAAATGCAACTGGGCTAGTTTTGAGTAGCGATTGGGCGGGTTTTGTTGTGAAAACCTGGCAACCCTGATCTCGTTCGTGAACGAAATGAGTGTACCGGGTCAGTCGGCTATTTAGCATGTCATCTCAATCAGCAGAAGCAAAGCGCAGTTATAGGTACTGTGCACATACACTTGCTTATATATTCATATTTAGCATATAGAACATAACTCCACATTTAATCCCCGATTTATGAATGTGTAAATGCCTGACCAAACAATTAAAATGTTAATTATGCAAGAAAACCTTGTGCTTTGGTCATCTGAACAATTTATTTAGACTTTATTAAAATGTGTGCATACTCTACTCATTAAATGAAGCCAAATAAGTTTTTTTGCAAGCGGCAACCTTCCAGTCCCTCTCGTGAAACCAACACGGAAGCGACTAAAACTGCAATCCATCAGCTGACCACTTAGAGGCTGGCTCCAAAAGGCAGTTCGTCCCGTAGCAGCTCACAGTCAGCCGCCTCAGTTTCATTGGCCAGTTTCCTGGATGACAGCCAGATTAACCAATCATGATCAAAGCAATAAGGTAAAACGACCAATAGGAACTGTTTCAGCGTGGTAACGCAGCAAAATGTATTTAGTTTTGTTGTTAATGATAATATTTTAACTTCTACCTTAAGATTTTAGAATAGGTTTCATGATCAAAATATTGTAAAATGCTAATAA